TGAGACAGGGTCTCACTATGAAGGCCAGGCAGGTCTCAAACTCATGGCAATCTTCCTGCCTCAGCCTCCTGAGTGCTAAGATTACAGGCATGTGCCACCACACCCAGTTTCTCTCTCTCTCTTTTTTTTGACATGAGGTCTCACTTTATAGTCCGGGCTGGCCTCAAGCTACCTGTGTCAACAAAGTGTGGTTGTACACACCTGTAATCCCTGTAATTTGGGAGGCTGAGGCAGGAGGACCACAAGTTCAGGCCCAGCCTGGGGCAACCAAGCAATTTAGTGAGACTCTGTCTCAAAGTAAAAAAAAAATTTAAAGGCTGTGGATGTAGCTCAGTGTGGAGGCCTTGGGTTCAATCCCAGTATTTCATACACAAACACACACACACACACACACACACACACCTCTCTGTGTGGCCCAGACTGACCTTGAATTTACTATCCTGCCTCATCCTCCCAGATGCTGGGATTACAGGTATGCGCTACACACCTACCTTAATTTTTCTTTTTTCCTTCTCCTTTTTGGACCCAGACATTAAAGACAAAGAAAGACATTAGAAAACATACTGTATGTAAGGGAAAATTAGAAAATAATTCTGCTTGCCCAGGGAAAGTCTGAGAAAAAAATCTGAGAAGACTTGAAGCTTACACTGTAGGCTGATCTATAGCACAGAGATGGTCTACCACCACTGAAAGACCAAAAACTGTAACAAAAACACAGCAAACTCTCAGGAAGGGAAGAATCTAGTTAACAGAGTTACAACATTTTTTAGATTCAGATGCCCAATTTAACAACAACAACAACAACAACTACTACTACTACTACTCACAATGCCCATAAAGAAATAGGAAAATATAGCTCACAGGGGAAAAAAATCAATAAAATTTGTTTCTCAGAAAGATTCGATGGCCAGTATGCTAGACAAAGACTTAAAACAATGGCCTTAAAAGACATCCAAAGAACTAAAGGAAGATGTGAAGAATGTTAATAAGACAATGTGTGAGGAAATACCAATAAAGAGATTAAAAAACCAAAAAGGATTTTAAAAAAATAAATTCCAGAGCTGAAAAGTACAATAATTGAAATGAAAAATTCATGAGACTCAAAGTCAGGTCTGAACAGAGGAAAAGAATTAGTGAACTTGAAGAAAGGACAATGGAAATTATCAAGAACAGAAACAAGACTGAAGAAAAGTGAACAGAGCATATAGGACTTGTGGACACCATCAAGGCAATCAACACATATTATGGGAGTTGCAAGAGGCAGAAAAGGGTAGAGAAAATACTTGAAAAATAGTGGCTGAAAAAAATCTAAATTTTGAATAGGGGACATAGCTTAGTGGAAGAACACTTGCCTAGCATATGTGAAGCCCTGGGTTTGATTCCTAGCCCTACAAAAATAGGTAAATTAAAAGTTGCCCAATCTGATGAAAGACATGAATATCAATATCCAAGAAGTTCCATCAACTCTAAGATGAACTGAAAGACCAACACAGGGACACATTAAAATCAAACTTGCATGTCTGAAAAACAGAAAATCTTGAAAATAGCAAGAAAGATGCAAATCATCACATATAAGACTAAAAATAGATTTCTCATCAGAGACTTTGGAGACCAGAAGCCAATGGGCCAATAGATCCAAAGTGCTAAACAAACAAAAAAAGTAAACCAAGTACCCTATATTCATCATAACTGTCCTTCAAATTGAAGGGAAAGTTAAGATATCCAAGATAAACAAAAGCTGAGGGAGTTCATTATCATTAGACCCACTCTACAAGAAAAATTAAAGAAATTCTGCAGGGTAAAATAAAACAATACTAGACAGTAACTCAAGCTAATGAAAAAACAAAGTGGTTTTTTTTTTGGTACTAGGGATCAAACTCAGGACCTTGCACTTTGAGAGGCAGGTGCAGTGCCACTGAGCTAAATCCCCAGCCCAGAAAACACAGAGATTTTATTTTTTTACTTTTTTTATTTTTTTAATAATCATTTGAGCTTTTTTTTTTTTTTTTTTTTGGTACCTGGGATTGAACCCAGGACCTTCCACTTGTGAGGCAGGTGGCGGCACCTCTGAGCTAAATCCCCAGCCCTATAGAGATTTTAATAAAAGCAAATACATGAACAATTATAAAGACTAGTATTGTTGTAACAATAGTTTTTAACATCAAACGTTTCTAATTTCATTACCTGTGTAATTTCAGAGACACGCACTTTAAAAAAAGTATTAGTCTAAAAGCTAGTATTATTATAGCTGTGTAACCCCACATTTTATTTTGTACATAATTTCAATGACTAATGTATTTAAAAGCATTATCATTTTATATTTTGGGAGACACAATCTGTAAAGATGTAATTCTGTTACACTAACAACCAAAAGAGCTGTGAAGGAACAGAATTTTTGTATGTTATTGAAGTTAGGATGGCATAAATTCAAACTGAAGTGTTGCAACTTTAGGATGCTAAATGTAACCCACATGGTGACTACATAGAAAATAGTTATAGATTATACACAAAAGGAAATGATAAAAGAATTTAAACATTTTACTACCAAAAAGAAAATTAACCAAACATACAAAAGAAGGTAATGCAGGAAATAAGTGACAAGAAATATAGAAAACAAATGGCAAATGAGAGAAGTCAGTCCTTAAATTCTCCAATCTAGATTACACTCTGCAATCAAAAGACAGGAGTTAGAGCTGGGGCTGTGCTTAGGAATAGAGCACTGGCCTAGCTTGTGGAAAGTCCTGGGTTCAATATCCAGCTACACACACACACCCATGCAGTGGGTAAAGAAACTCCACCATGCTTTCAGGAGTCTTCTTCTGTGTTGGATGCCACTCAGCAGCATATTCAGTGTATTTAAAAATTATCAGTACATGTTTATAAGGCATAATGAATACATTCATTGTGGGGAGTTAGTGCATGTATATTTATTACCTCTTAATTCTTACTTCCCCTTCCCTCCTCACTTGCTCCTCTCCCTTCCTCCCTAGGTCCCCTTCCCATCTCAAAGAATCTATCTCCCTGTTTTCTATCATCTATCTTTAATTTTGATCTTTAAATTATTTACTTTGAGTTTCTCACATAAGAGGAACCTGCAATATTTAACCTTGTGTGTCTGATTTACTTCACTTGGCATTATGGTCTCAAGGTACACCCATTTTCCTACAAATGACTCAAGTATTTCTTTATGGCTGAGTAGTAGTACTCCATTGTATACAAATACCACATTTTCTTTACCACTCATCTATTGATGGACATATAGGCTGCTTCCAAGATTTAGCTATTGTGCTGCTATAAACATGAGTATGCAGGCTGGGAACTTAGCTCAGTGGTGCTCTTACCTGCCTTGCAAGCGCAAGGTCCTGAGTTCAATCCCTAGTACCACAAAAAAACCCAAAAAACAAAAAAACAAAACATGAGTATGCATGTATCACTGTAATAGGATGTCTCTAACTCTTTGGGGAAGATACTCAAAAGAGGAATAGCTAGGTAAAATGGAATTTCTACTTTTAATTTTTTGAGGATTTCCATAGTGGTTGTAGTAGTTTACATTCCCACCAAAAACAAAGAAGGGTTCCTTTTCCCTGGCCAACATTTTTTGTTTTTTGAGATCCTGAAAATATAAAAGATGACTTTCAAAACTGCTTCAGAAGATGGTAAGAGGGCCAGGGATTTATCTCAGTGGTTCTGCCACCTGACTTGAAAGCGCAAGGTCCCAAGTTTGATCCCCGGTACTGAAAAAACCAAACAAAAAAAAACAAACAGAAGATAGCAAGAACAATGGGTGTGTTGGAAGTGAAGGGAAGTATTTTGAGGAAAATTAATGGTAATGTGCTTTTTATTATAATACATTTATTTATTTATTTTTGGTACCGGGGATCGAACTCGGGTCCTTGCGCTTGCACAGCAGGCAATGAAACCAGTGAGCTAAATCCCCGGCCCTTAATATGTATATTTAAACACACACCATATTTCTGATCATCCATTTTTGTTTGTTTGTTTGTTTTGGTACCAGGGATCAAACTCAGGACCTTGCACTTGCGAGGCAGGTGCGATTCCACTGAGCTAAATCCCCAGCTCCCATCCATTGTATTTTTGTAAAAATTGCAAAGAAAAATATCTAGAAGTAAACACATTTGAAGTTTACTAGGGATGCCTCTATCCTGTAGAACTTAGGATTTAGATTTTTTCTGTCTCTGCACACTATTTTCTATTTTGCACATTTACCAGAAAGAACATTATTCCTTTTTAATTTCTTTTAGACATGGCTGAAAACAAACCAATAAGAGCATTTATAAAAGGTCTCCAGTGGTAGTGTAATGTATTGGAAAGCATTAATAAGCCAAATGACATGAAATTGGGTCAAATATCCCATTTTTTACTACAAAACAGCAACTGTATATGGCTCAACCCGGCATTCTGACAATCAGAAGGGTGAGAAGCTGGCAGCAATTTCTACTTCAGTGAGAAGCGACATGATGGCTGCCTGCACAGGTGAAAGCTCACATACATGGTAAAAAAAGAACACAGCAGCAGGCAGGTGTCGCTGTGTTACCTGTCACCTGTCTCCCAGTGTGCCACTGTGGACCTGGCCTGGCCTGGACTCCTGTATCCAGACTGCCAAGGTGACCAGCTCTCCAAGGATGCGGTGGGCACAAGGCCTGCACAGAAGAGCTCGGCCCATCCTGTGCCCTTGGTATGGCAATGCCAGTCTGCTTGTCATTTCCATTACAAGTACTTGTGCCCGGGTAACTTTACGGAGCAAAAACAACTCTTTGGTTCATAATTTCAGAGGCGAAAGTCCGAAGAGGATGTGCTGACTCTGCAGAGGGCCCCTCGGCTGTGTCACGGGATGTCGCCCTGATGGAGGAAGCCATGCAAGCATAGGAAGGCGGAGGCTGCAGGTGTGCTCCTACAACACTCCTTCCGAGGAACTAACTCAGGGGCCCCACAAAAACTACCTTAGTCCCTGTAAGCACATGACTGGTGACCTAAGCACCCCCACTAGGCCCCACCTCTTTTTTTGAGACAAGGTCTCTCTATGCAGTCCAGCCTAACCTTGAACTATGTAGCCCAGGCTGGCCTGGTACTCACAGAGATACTCCCGTTTCAGCCTCCTAAGTGCTGGGATTAGAGGAGTGCTCCACCACACTCATTGAGATCCCACCTCTGAAAGCAACTTCCAACACGTGACTTGTTGGGAGACACAGTCCCATCCAAACATCTCCAGAAGCAGCTGCCATTCCTCTGGCACTGAAGTTCCTGTGGAAGAGCCAAGTTCAGCAGTGGTGGGCATCTTCATTCTGTGCCTCTCTGCCACATCTGAACCTTTTATCCTCCCCCGTGTATCCCTCCTTCCCATAATACATTTATACCCTAGTTCAGGGCCTCCTCTACCTACCTGGGCAACTAGGAAGGCTCTTGCACACCTCTACTGTGTCCTCTGTTCACTCCTTCCTTCAGTGAGCAGTTAGTGGACACCCAATGGGCACCCTGCACTGGGCCTCCAGCAGCCACATGATACAGATTAGAAAAATGTTCCCCTCACACCTTTCCGTGGCTGGAGACCGAAAGGCCTTTCCTGCCCTATCACAGCATGACCTCGACATGGAGACAGACTGAATGCAGCCCCAACAATGCCCAGGCGAGGTGCCCTGTCCAGGGCACACCTGCACAGTCGTATGCAATGGTCCCAAGCTGGGTGGTGCTGAGTACAGCAGGAGGTAGCCCAGAAGGTCCAGGAGGACATCCAAAAGAAAGCCCTGTGAAACAGGCCAGGAGGCTCAAGGCACAGTGAAGCTTGAACAGAAAAGTCAAAGGCACCAAGCTGTTTGGAGTAAGAAAAAGGTACAGGGGACTGAGCTCGGGGCTCACCGCAGACTCGGAGCCTGCAGGAGCTGTCATGGTTCTGGAGGAGAGGGAGGGAGGGAGGGCTCCCCCCCCCCACCTCCCTTCCTGCCACAGTCCCCTCCTTCCACAGCCCCGCTGTTCGGAGATCTGTTCTGTACTGGAGTCTTACACTGGGTATGACTATGACTGCAGTAGGTGGCAAGATCAAACTTATTTTAATCTTACATATTTGGAGTTAGGGCCTCTTGATAGTCAACATGCAAATATATTCAAACAATATGCAAAGCGGGAGCTTAACATGAGTTGAAAAAAAATCTGGTTGCCTTATGGTGAGTTCTCTCTACAGAGGGACCTCTTTTCAGATGCGACATTCATGGGGGGCTCCTCCTGGCCTTGCTTTTGTCCTCCCCTTTCTTCCTCCACCTGAAACCATTCATTAATCATTTACATAACTAGAGATATTTTGTTTAACTTTTTTTTTTGGTACCGGGGATCAAACTCAGGTCCTTGCACTTTCCAGACAGGCGGCGGAAGCACTGAGCTTTAATCCCCAGCCCCATAGAGATATAACCAGTCCCTAGTGCCCATGCTGAGGGGGTTCTCAACTTGGGATTCCATATAACCATCACCAGGGAACCTTTAAAAATTGTCAAATAGCTGGGAGTGGTGGTTCACGCTGCAGTCTCAGCATTCCGGGAGGCTGAGGGAGGAGGATCACCACGAGTTGGAGTCTAGCCTAGGCAACTTAGTAACTTAGAGAGACCCTGCCTTAAAATTTTTTAGTTTTTAAAAAGGGATGGGGATGCTGCTCAGGGCAAAAGCCAGTATCACCCCCCTACACACACACACACACACACACACACACACAGAGTTGTTAAAATTGTTAATTGCACAGTGCAAATAAATTAACTGTACTGGTAACAGGATCCAAGCTTCATTGACTTTTTAAGGTCTTGGCATTTCTGCTACATAAGTGAGGCGCTGCTGCAGACCAGCCCCATGAGATACCTCTCTCTCTTCTCAGGAGACTCCCCAGCTCCCATGGGAGGGCCTGTTCTCAGAGTGCCTCAGCAGTGCAGGACCCAGGGCCCTTCCTGCCTCATCAGCCTCTGCTGAGGACAAGCTCACCAGTTGATGCAGAAACCAGCAAAGTCTGTGGTGCCAAACTGTGGGTCATCAATTCTCAAACTTGGCTGCCACTAGGATCTCTCATCTCAGGAGTTTTCATATCTGTCAAAGCCACAGCCAGGTTGGCTGTCACTGGCAAGGGTGAGACCGAGGCTTTGGGACTCTTAGAAGTTACCTTTGTGATTTACTGTGCAACCAAATCAACCCATTAGAAACAGCAGGAGGGGAGTAAGCGAAGCTTCCTCTGTGTTCACAGATCCTCCCCATGGCTCCCCTCACCGTCTGAGCTCCACTTCCTGTCAGATCAGTGGCAGCATTAGATTCTCATAGGAGTGAAAATCCTCCTCTGACCTGTGCACATGAGGGATCTAGGTTGTGCTCCTTTTGAATCTAATGCCTGATGATCTAAGGGGTGGAGCTGAGGTAGTGATGCTAGTGCTGGGGGATGTAACTATTATGTATCACAAAAATATTCTAATAAAGAAAAACTTAAAAAAAGAATTCTCCTGGGCCAGGAATTCAGCTCAGTGGTGTCCTGCCTGTCTGGCAAGCACAAGGTCCTGAGTTTGATCTCCGGTACCAAAACAAACAAACAAACAAAGAATTCTCTTCCCACCTCTGGAAAATTGTCTTCTGTGAACCCTGTCCCTGGTGTCAAAGAGGTTGGAGAACACTGTACTTGAGGACCTCTGATTTAATAATGACTTCTAACCCCCAATTCATAGTTTCTTTCCTTTGTTAGGGGCATGCCAGCTGCATGTTATAGTCACCTGGGGAACTTTGAAAAAAAACGAAGACCAAAGCCATACCAGGGCCTAAGGGCCAGCTCATCACATCGCCCGTCTTGTACTAACACTTCTTGAAAGCTTCCAGAGAGACTCCAAGGTGCAGCCAAAGATGAGAATCTGCACCAGGGCTGTAAGTACACCAAAGCGCTTTGTGACTCCTAGGTAGGACTTGGGGTCCTTATCAGGGCCTAATCCTATGGACTGAGGCAGGGGAGCTGGACACCAATTACATGACTTCCCAGGAATCAGGGGATTGGGAATGACAATGTTAAGAAGAGTAGTTTTCCTTGCTTGGAAATCATGTTACTCTGCATTCACCACCCACTGACTCAGTAGCAGCCGTAACCACAAAGGTCTGGGAGTCTGGGGTTCTGGGAGGTGAATATCAAAGCCCTTAAAGAGCTCAGAGCTAAAACTAGATTCTCATGCCAAGTTCACAGTGAGATAGGAAATCTGTCTGTTAGCAGAAAAGGAACTCTAGGTTCCAAGTGCTTAGGGATCTGAACACACAGCTCTTGGGAGGCCGGGTGAAGAAAGGATGGAGATCTGAGGCAAAGGAAGCCCTTGTCACTGACAGGACAGATCCTTCAGGGGCAGGGACAGGCTGAGTGATCAGACTGGGGTAAAGATTGTTCCTGTGTCCTAGGAAGCTGTGGGGCATGACGCCAGCTGGAAGGCTGATGGAAAGGCTTGTGCCAGCCTCCCATGTCACACTCTGGACAAGTACTTCCTGGGACTGCCATGTGGTCCTGGGGAGACAGCGTTGTGCCCTGCTAGGCAGAGGAGGGGCTGAGGCAGCCCAACAGGCAGTGGCACAGCCTCTCCCTTGGTTACACGCTGGTCCATACCCAGGTCTCCTCTGTCCGTCCGGCAGTGGCGATTGTCACAGCAGAGCCTACAGCACTGAGTGAAGACGAGAGCCTATTCAGCCATCCTCGCCTTCCCTGGAAGTGACAGCAAAATTCACCTGATAATTCCACCATGCATGTGGCTATTAATAACTCGCTATTTACACCAGGATCTATTATGGAGGCTTACTTATGTTCTCGCTTTGCTAAGTTCCCAATGCCCAGAGAGATTCCTTCTCTATTTTGAAGAACCATGTTTTGGTTTCTATGGCAACAATGCACGGGGAGGGGGAGCTTTCCATGGACACCAGAGCAAGGCTTAGCTATCTGTCCCCCCTCAGCAGGACAGGCCCTTCCTGAGGGCAACACCTGATGCAAATGCTGAAAAGTCCAGGGCCCTTTTCAGGGCAAACTCACAAACAATCGTGTCACGCCTCGCCCAAGAGCTCCATTTTGTGCTGAAAGGAAGAGAGTCTTGTGGCCAAAGCACACACACAGGAGAGCAGCTGGAGGTCCAGAGGGGTTCGCTTCTGGGGAAATGAGAAGGGCCCCAGGCCAGCGTTAAGGACACTGTGGGATTCCGTGGGCTCTGGGACCCCTACTTTGCCAAGGAAACCCTGGAAAAACAGGTTGCTGCAGGATAAGGACAGACTTGACAAGAGGAGGAAAAAGCAGCGTGCTTATTCTTATCCCACCTCGTAAAGGAGGGCAATGACATAAGTCAGGCATGGTGCCACACAGCTGTGATCTCAGCACTTGAGAAGCTGAGGCAGGAGGATCGCTATGAGTTCAAGCCCAGCCTAGGCTGCATAGTGAGACCCTGTCTCAAAACTCAAAATACAAAAGCAAAAACATAAAGGAGGGCAGGGCTGTTGGAGTGCTGAGCAGTGAAGGCAGTGCCTCCGCAGACCGTCAGGCCTAGAGGGGTAGAGCCAGTTCCCACAAGTGACCCGGAGGACAGAGCCTTTTCCACACAGAATGAGAAAGTGCTGAGTGCAACCAGCCAGACACAGGAGGACAACACTATGTGGCCCTACTTACACAAGGCCCTCAGGGGTCCAACTCAGGGGAAGGAGATGCAGGACACTGCCAGGGGCTGGGGTGGGAGAGGGGACCCAGTGTAATGGGGATGGAGTTTCCCTGTGGGGAAAATATCAAAGGTCTAGACAGGGGACAGGGCGGAAACTGCAACAATTCAAATGCCCTCAAGCCACTGAACTGCACACCTAAAAATGGCTAAAATGGCCAGCTTGATTTTCCGTTCATTTTACCATGATTAAAAAAAACAATTAAAGATAAGGGTGTGGAGACACACAGCTGAAGTCCCAGCTATTGTACCTGAGAGGCTGAGGCAGGAAGATCACTTAAATACAGGAGTTCCGGCCAACCTGGGTAACATAGCAAGACCCTGGCTCAAAAAAAAAAAGTTGAAGTTACCACATTTGTTTGCCTTGTCACATCCATGCTATCCTTTATACACAAACACATGTTGGTCAAATTCAGCATCTACCATGCAGTCAGTAGGCACCGTGTCCACATTAGCGGGCCCTTGCTAACTAAGGGCTGTGGCTACACAAACTTGGATGAGCAGCTGAAGCCTGAGGTGGCCACAGAATTCACTGTCCAGGTAGGTGTGTGGCTTGTTCAGGGGGAGGGGTAAGTACCAGGAACAGAGAAAGCCGCATGGGACTGTGGTGACCATTAATGATCTCAAATGGAGACCATGGTTATATCCCACATGGGTTTCTTTCTTCTTTTTCTTCCCTTTTTTTTTTTTTTTGCAGTACTGGGGACTGAACCCAGGACCTTTGCACTGAGCTATACTCCCAGCCCCTTTTTTATTTTTAATTTTGAGACAGGGTCTCACTAAGTCACTAGGTTGTGGAGGCTAGGCTCCAGTTTGGGGTCCTCCCGCCTCAGCCTCCCAGAGTGCAGAGTACAGATACGCACCACCACACCCAGCTGTGGCTTAGTCTTTAGTAATCATTATGGTGAGGGCCGGGAATTTGGCTCAGTGGTCCTGCCGCCTGCATCGAAAGCACGAGGTCCTGAGTTCGATCCCCGGTACCAAAAGAAAAGTAATAATAATAATAATAATCATCATCATCATGATGGTGGCAACTTTAGAGTGGTTTGAACTTGGGGCAACTGGTAGTACATTTTCCTGAAAGAAAGCTGAAGAGAAAGAAGAGTTCAATAGCAGCTAAGGCTAAAACAGCTCAACAGAAGGAGAGGAGATAGAGGGCAAGGCACAGGATCTGAGGGCAGGCAAGGGTGACACCAAGAGAGGACCAGGCCAGAGGAGGAAGCTGGGTAGTGGAGGGAACTTGGGGT